AGCATTATTCTTTGGCACTCAGCCTTCTTTATGGTCCAACTCTTATGTCTGTACGTGACTACTGGAAAAATTATAGCTTTGACTATATGAACATGATATAATGGATTAAAAAAAACCTGCTGTAAGGAATTCCCTGGTGGTCCAGTGGTTAGGACTTTGCACTTTCAGTGCCTAGGGCGTGAGTTCGATTCCTGGCAAGGGAACTAAGATCTCACAAGCCCTGAAGCACGGAAAAACAAAGCCCAGAAAACCCTTCTATAAATTGGCATTTAGTAATATCATCATTCGTTGTTCAGTCACTAAGTCGTGTCTGACTCTTTGCAGCCCCATGGATTGTAGCACGCCAGGCTCCTCTGTCCATGGGACTTCCCAGGCAAAATTACTGGAGCGGGCTGCCATTTCCTACTCCAGGGGATCTTCCCGACCCAGGGAAACCTGGTGGCTCAGATGATCAAGAATCTGAGTTAACTAGTTTCTCTGGTTAACTAGTTTCTCCTGAGGGCAGACCTTGTTAAGAAAGCCAGAATGTTCTAGTGTATTTAAAATGGCCACATCTCCCCTTCCCCTGCAGGAGGTATGAGACGATTTTTCTCCCATCTTCACTTTGAGAAACTGGTCAAGCTCTGGAGGTAAAACTCACAGAAGTGTGGGGACCTCCCTGGAGATTCTGAATCTCACACTTGTCCACATTAAGCTTCCAGCAATTTATCAATTACGGCTTAGGTTTTCTTACCCTGGATTGGTCCACAGGGAGATTTCTGCTCTGGTAAGTTGTGATTCTCTATATTCACCTGTCTTTCCAATTTTGGGGGGCAGGTGTGTGCCCTGTGACCTCATTTTTCTGATGACTCTAAGACTGTTGATTTATCAGTTTGTTTTGCTTTTTACTTGTGTGGATAGAGTGGTGACTTCTAAGCTCCTTACAGTTACCATGTGTTTCTAAGATAAACAGTTGACTTGTTGGGAACACAACTGGGAACACAATAGGCTTGGGGGAGAATTAATCCACCTCTGGAGATATTGAAGAAAACATTAATTTTAATGGAAGACAGTGCAGGTTTTAATAGAAGGAATACAAATTTTATCTAGGCACCTGAGACCCACATGAACGGGATTTTGCAGAGTTTTCTTTGAAATTAAGAATAAGAAATTTCGTTATTTCAATTTTTCTAAGAGGAGATTTTATTATGGGACATTGATTTCTCTGTTGAAACTTAATGATAACAAGGGTTCATATTACTGAAGTCTGGGACTTTTTTTTTTTATAGTGTTGGCGCTATATTATTTTAACTGTGCTGTCATTGGTTAATTGTTAAATAATGTCTCAAGGCCAAAAAATCAGAACATAAACAACAGAAGCAATATTGTAACAAATTCAATAAATTATTTATTCTAAAAAAGACTTACTTATTTTATTTTTTGGTCCCTTCCCCATTTATTTTAAACTACTTTCCATGGAATCTTGATGTGAGAAGGTGATAGCTTTAACAGTTTTATTCTCAAAAGGAAAAAATGATAAATCTAATGTTATCTCTTTGGAGAAAAAAAATGATAAATCTCTGGTTGTGTTGATCGATACAAAAGAGATACTAATTCTTGGAAAACTCTCTAGAAATACATCTGGAAATTTTAATAATTAAAAGTAATAGATACGGTAAATAACACAGTAAAAAACTTGAATGTACTCAATTAAAAGAAGTTTGGAAGGAAAAACATATTACTGAAGTTGATTAAACAAGAAGAGAAAAACAAAAGACATAAAACCCTCAAACAATTATCCTGTAAAAGGTTCTGTACTCAGAAGGTTTGCAAATGAGTCTTTTCAAACTTTTTTAAGGAGATGATTTCTATTGTTTATAATTCTCTCTAGAACAAATCAAAAGCTATTAATAGAAAGCCATGTAGCTGAATCTGCAAAGGACTCAAATCCCTGATGTCCAAATCTAATACAAGAATTAGAAACAAAAGGAAAAGCAATTCCATGTTACAAAAGAATAAGATTAGTTTTCTCTTTTTTTTAAAAAAAGAGCGTGAACTGAATCTAATGATATATTTTAAAAGTTCTTATGGCATTTTATTCAATAATGAAAACAGGCTGATATGAAACTTACTATTTGAACATATTAGTAAGTATCTTAAATGATAATTAATAGGTTTTTCATAATCACATCATGACATTCCCTACCCCTAACATCCTCCTCCAATACACACATAGTTACAAACACACACACACACACACACACACACACACACACACAGAGTATATGTGTCATAGAGAATATCTGTTTTAGACCAATATTATATTTGGTTTTTCAAACTCTACAGGCAATTCTAGCAACACTGTAAAATAAGTCAAGTTTATTAACACTATTATGCAATACAGGATATCCTAAAGTTTTAAGATTTAGTAACTTCAGCAGTATAAATGTTAGACGCATATGAAAAGCATCATTGTATTTTTATTTTTCATTTTAGTACTGTTTTAACTCAGTATGTCCAAAACATTGTTCCTTCAGCATATAATCATTATAAATATGCTAATGAGATATTTTCTATTCATTTTTTTCATACTAAGTCTTCAAAATTCATGGTATTTTACAATTAAAGCACATTTTAATTTAGACTTGGGCTTCCCAGGTGGCACTAGTGGTAAACAATCTCCTGCCAATGCAGGAGATGCAAGAGATGTGGGTTCAATCCCTGGGTCAGGAAGATCCCCTGGAGGACGAAATGGCAACCCACTCCAGTATTCTGGACCTTTCAAATACTCAGAAGTCAAAGGTAGTTAGTGGCTACTAGTGCTGACCAGCACATAACAACACAATCACAAAGGAAAATTTTCTTCCAAAATGACCCTCCACCTGAAACGTATTACACTTTTCAACTGCTCTAGGAATCAGAAAGTTCTTCTTTCTGAAAATCATCATTTTAAGTTTAAATTCTTCTTACTTTCACTTAGTGAATTTTGAATAATACATTTTAATTTCAAATAATGAGGGAAGCCACACAATACAGTAGCTAGTCAAATTATGCAGAATGTACAGAAAAGTATTTACCATTGAATGCATCTTTGAAAATAAATGAAGACCAACCAAATAAGAACAGGCCAGGCTGTTTATTCAGAGCTTATTAGAGGAAAGGAGTATAGACAGATTACCATGATGTTGAATGGTTTGCCTTGGAAACTGAGATATTCTGTTGTTTTTGAGATTTCTGGGGGCACAGGACTAGAAAAGGTCAGTTTTCACTCCAATCCCAGAGAATGGTAATGCCCAAGAATTTCAAACTACCATACAATTCCGCTCATTTCACATGCTAGCAAGGTAACGCTCAAAATCTTTCAAGATAGGCTTCAGCAGTATGTGAACAGAGAACTTCCAGATGTACAATCTGGGTCTAGAAAAAGCAGAGGAACCAAAGATTGAATTGCCAACAATTGTTGTATCATACAGAAAGCAAAGGAATTCCAGGAAAACATCTACTTCGGCTTCATTGACTACACTAAAGCCTTTGACTGTATGAATCACAACAAAATGGAAAATTCTTAAAGAGATAAGAATACCAGACCACCTTACCTATCTCCTGAGAAACTCATATGCAAATCAAGAAGTAACAGAACCAGACATAGAACAACGCACTGGCTCAAAATTGGGAAAGAAGTACAACAGGCTGTATATTGTCACGCTGTGTAGTATTTAACTTATATGCCGAGTACATCATAGGAAATTCTGGATTTGATGAATCATAGCTGGAATCAAGGTTGCCAGCAGAAATATCAACGACCTCAGATATGCAGATGATACCACTCTGATGGCAGAAAATGAAGTGGAAATAAAGAGCCTCTTGATGAGGGTTAGAGAGGGAAAAAGCTGGCTTGAAACTCAACATTCAAAAAACGAAGATCATGGCATCCAGTCCCATCACTTCATGGCAAATAGGGAAACAATGGAAACAGTGACAGACTTTATTTTCTTGGGCTCCAAAATCACTGCAGATGGTAACTATAGCCATGAAATTAAAAGACACTTGCTCCTTGGAAGAAAAGCTATGACAAACCAGGACAGCGTATTAAAAGGCAAAGACATCACTATGCTGACAAAGGTCTGTGTAATCAAAGCTATGGTTTTTCTAGTAGTCATGTATGGATATGAGAGCTGGACCATAAGGAAAGCTGAGTGCAGAACTGATGCTTTTGAACTGTGGTGCTGGAGAAGACTCTTGAGAGTCCCTTGGACTGGAAGAAGATCAAACCAAGTCAACCCTAAAGGAAAGCAACCCTGAACCTCATTAGAAGGACAGATGCTGAAGGTGTAACTCCAATACTTTGGATCCCTGATGGGAAGAGCCAACTCATTGGAAAAGGCCCTGATCTGGGAAAGATTTAAGGCAAAAGGATAAAGGGGCAGCAGAGGATAAGATGGTTAGATAGCAACATCAACTCAGTGGACATGAACTGAGCAAACTCCAGGAGACAATGGAGGCCAGAGGAGCCTGGCATGCTACAGCCCATGAAGTCAGAAAGAGTCAGACACGGCTTAGGAACTGAACACCATCACCAGCAACAACAAAAGCTAAAGAAACTCAGTAATTGACGAAGTCCTGGTCATCTGGAGCTGACTTCTATAAAAGTTACTGCTTAGCTTCCTGGAGGTTGGCTAGAGGTAGTGGCCTGGCTTCCTAGGCTTTTTATTGTAGTTTTAGGAGCTGATTTCTTGGGTAGATCATGGGGGTGGTAGGTCAGCGTTCCAGAGGTTTTTTCTGGCCCGCCATGGGACATGTGTGGTCTTACTTCCTCCACCACGGACAGAACCTGCGCCCCCTGCATTGGCAGCAAGGAGTCTTAACCACTGGACCTGCCACGCGATCCGCCTCCTCTTGCCACGCGTGCCTGACCATGCCAGCCACCCCCGTGCGTGAAGCGCCTCACTTAGGCTGACCGGAAGGGCCTTGCCGCGGAGCCTGCCGGGAGTTGTAGTTCCATCCTGGTCCAGGGTTGCCTACACAGTGGAGGGGCGGGGGTCGACTCAGATCTGCGCATTTTCGGACACCGGTGGTCTTGTGGTCTTCAGACTTGAGAGCACCTCGGACCTGGCCGGTTTTGAGGTCTCCGCGGCATCGCGGCACCTCGGCTCCTGGCTGTAGAAGGGACTCACGTGACGGAATCCACGGTTGCAAAGCCAGGCGGGCACTGGGAGGGGGTGCTCCGTGCGGGGTTCGCTCCATCCGATGTCTCCTTAGGAGGGTCAGGGTTTCTGTCTGGTCCGAGGTAGGGGCCACAGGCTGGCTGGGTTTCACTGCTTCTCTGATCTCCAGCAGCTCAGCCTCGTCTGAGCCCACGATCCACAGGGAGCTACTCTCGGACACAGTAGTGACAGCATTGGCCCCGAAGAGCTGGGGACTAGCTCTCCCTCGCAGGGTCGCCCCTTTTTGCTGACAGTGGATTTGTTTCTGATGTTTAACTTGGAGTTTCTCTGCCTACCCAGAGCCCTGAACACCACTTGGGTGCTCAGACCTCCTGTGAGTGAGGAAAGTCTCTTCTGACACCGCCCCCACCCCAACTCCTGCGGACCCTACATCCAGCCGAGGGTAGGCGCTGAGCTATGAGGGCAGTTAAGGAAGGCTATGAAATAACTGTTATTTCAAAAGTCTACAGTGTCCGTCTTTACAGTAGCCCTGGGGGAATACCGGGTCCCATCCGCGGCCAGAGACTTCTGGACATGTCAGTCAGGTAAACAGATAAGGGCCCCTCTGGGTGCTGAGTGTCCGATATCTCTACTGGATGAATGGGCCCACCCCCACACCCCACCGGAGGGAGGGAGGTTCCTACTGGGGAGGCGGGACTAAAGATCAGACTTCAGTAGGGTCTGCTAGGTGGAAAGATGCAAAAGGGTATTCCCAGATGAGGGAACAGCATACCAAAGGTAAGAGGCTTAAACTGAGGGGGTACGGCTAGGTTGCGTGTTATGGGGGAGCTATTGCAAAAATCTTGACTGGAATTTGATTGGACCTAATGTTTCTTTGATGGGTGTATTTTTGAGTAAGGATCCATTTCACGTAAAGTTTAGTGGTTTATTTGGTTTTCTGTTGCTTTGTCAATTTGAGTAATTTATATATTTTCTGGAAAGTTGTCCAATTTCATTTCAGTTTATGGCATTAATTTGTAGTACTCACTTGATTAAAAGAAAACTTCAGTATATCTGTAATTGTCTCCTTTTTCATGTTCAAAAATTGTTTCTTTTTTCCCACTCTTTTCTTGATCAGTCCTGCCTGCAGTTAGTCTTTTATTAGTTTAAAATACAAAACAATTATTTTATTAGTTGTAATAAATCCTTTCCAAGAGTTGAATTTAGTTTTTTGTTTTAATTTTTCATTTGGGCACAATTTCAGAATTAAAGTCATGATAGTAGAATAGTACAAATAATTCCTAAATAGATTTCATCTAAATTCCCTAACATTTTGCCGCATTCGTATAGGAGGTTTCAGAGGGATTTCGGAGCCAATTAAGGAAAAAGATGTAACCATGAATTGCAGGAGCACAATGACACTGTTTATGCATGCGTATGAGGGATACGGGGGGCCTCTTTCAGCAGGAGACCACCTAGAGGCAAGGGCCCAGAGGCCGCTTCCCAGAGGAGAGGAGAACAAGGGAACCCTTGGGGTATATAAAGCCACTCGGGGTCTTTATATCTTTATAGGCGAAGGAGTTTGTGTAACTCAATGAAGCTATAAGCCACGCCGTGCAGGGCCACCCAAGACGGAGGAGTTACAGTGGAGAGTTCTGACAAATCCTGGTCCAGTGGAGAAGGAAATGGCAATCCACTCCAGTATCCTTGCCTGGAGAATCTCATGGACAGTGGAGCCTGGCAGGCTACAGTCCATGGGGTCGCAGAGAGTCGGACACAACTTAAGCAACTGAACAACAAAAACGAGAAACTGGGTGCGGTTTCACGGGGCAGGTGAAGTGTGCAGCTTCTAAACGACTATAGATGTGCCGACTACACTGTGTTTAAAACATTCACATGTGTTGATATCTGAGTTTGGGGCTGCTGGTCTTTTGAGCTAGAGATCTCAGCCAGCTGTGAAGAAATAAACAACTCAGGGGCCAATCTACAGAGGACATCTTTGGCTAATTTATATGACAATTTGCTTTATCTTGCTTTTCCTCCCTCTTCTATATATTTGTGTGTAAATACTTCAATGTGCATTTCCCCAAAACAAGGGCATTCTGTCACATAACCACAGTATAATCAGGAAATTAGAATTGGTGTAATGCCATTGTCTAACCCATGGATCTTATAGTTTACTAGTTGTCTCAGTAGTACCTTTTCTAGCTAAAGAAAATCTAGTATCACACATTGCAACCCCCTCCCCTCTTTGGTCTCCTTTAATCTGGAGACTTTTAAAGCATTGACATTTTTGAAGAATACAGGCCAGTTATGATTGCTCCTTAATTTAGGTTTGTTTGATGTTTTGTCATGATTAGATTCAGGTAATACATTTGGGGCAGGATTTTTTAAAATATCTGCTTAATTATTTCTTCTAAAATTTCTTCTCATATTTCTTTTTTTTTCATATTTTTTTTAAACATCTTTTGAGTTTATTCTTCTTTTCTGTGCTAGCTTTCTGCATTGTATGTCATCAATTTCCATTAATTTAATGCCTGTCTTAGGGCTGTAAATTTCCTTTAAATATGTGTTTTTAAATATCCACCAATTTTGGTATGTAGTATTTTTGTAGTTGTTATAAATATTTCTGCATTTTTATTTTATAATTTTACTACTTTTTGGTTTAGAGAGTAGCATCTATGCAATATTGATTTTTTTTAAAGGGTTGTTGAGGTTTATTTTTTTAGCTTGTCAGTTTTATAACTATATCAGATGGCACTTTTAAAAATGTATATTCTCTATTGAGTTCATTCTCTGTCTGATACAATGGCAAGCTTTTAAATTGTTTATTCATACCTTATGCTATTTTTTTTGTATCCTAGATCTTCGTTTCTAAGAGTATATGCTAAAATCTTTTTGCTGTGATGACGACTTGTCAGTTTCTCTTCGTTGTGTCCAGTGCAGTGTTTTTGTGCATTTAAGCTGCATCATGTGCATTTGCTGGGGTGCACTGGACCCAGGATTGAGCTGGCTTCGGGTCACTGCTTTGTCTCCTTCCAGTGGGTTGTTCTTTCTAGCTTTTTGTCTGTCTCCTAATTTTTTAAATGAATGCCCGACACTGTGTGTGGGAGACTTCTGTTGGGCTGTTTCTGTGTTGGAGCTGGGAGGACAGGAGTTGTGAGTTGCGCAGAGCTGGCATTTCTTGTTGCTATGGTTATCATGGGTCTCTGCTCTGTCTTAGAGCTGGCTGGTTACTTACTGGTTCCCCATTCCGCCCACCGTCGGCCCCCCCGCCTTGACTGTCTCCTGCTGGTGCTCCCCGCCTGCTCCTTGTGCTGGCTGACCTGGGGAGGAGGGGCAGGGTGCTCTTTCCCTGTCAGTCTTAGGAGGGCCCTGGGCCCTGGAGATGTGTGTCTCCCATGGAGGTAGTGTAATAGGGAGTTACTGGTCCTCTCACCCATTGATCAGCGCAGCAGTGGGCCCTGCCTCCAAGCTGCCAGCTGTCAATGTTGTCAGTGTTAGGCGGTGATTCAACCAATGGTTGGTGGACTGATGCTCATCAGGTAGAGTGAGGTAAGAGGTGGATTCTCGCCTTCTCCAGGAGGCCCTCCAGCTCACCCAAGCTCAGGCCTGCAGGTGAGCTGGGGGGCCCAGGGAATAGGCTCCAGGGCCCTCCCCAAGGCCACCCCCTAGCCAGACCCAGGCCTTGAGGTGGCAGTGACCCTCTCCACTATCCCCAGCTCTGACTGAATAGCACGAGATGCAGACTTCAAGACCTGGCCCCTGCTACCTGGGCAGCCTGAGAGCTGGCTGGGTGCTGGGCGCCTGGCGCCTTCGGGGATGGCGGCTGGGCAGGGTCTGAGGCCCTGGTCCTGAGCGGGCCGCCGGCTGAGCTCTGCCTTCTCCTTAGCAGGGACCGGGACCTCGGAGGGCGAACATGGTGCCTGATGACCTGGCGCTTTCTTGTCAGGACAGAGAGTAACATTCGTTTGGTAGAGACTTACAGGAACACCGTTACCTGACCTCAAGAACAAAGGATGTGATGCCGAGAAGTCTGCATCAACCAACCAGGCTCCTCCCTCACCTTTCCTAGGAAAGGGCTTTGCCGAGAGCTTTTGAGGAGTTTGGGGCTTTTAAGGCATAAGCCACCTATCTCCTCACATGGCTCTGCAATAAACCTTCCTCTGTTCCAAACTCTTGACATTTTGGGATTATTTGCCTCATTGTGTGTTGAGGGCATGGACTTGTGTTTTGGTAACAGTAGGAGGTGCTAAAGGCCTGAGCCCAGGACCTATGTCTGCCCCTCGCCCACGGGGATAGGGTTTTTTTTTTTCTGCTGCTGCTTCCTCCTGCGACACGTGGTAGGTATTACCCGTGATCTGGGTGCAACAAAACGGTTTTGCTAACCCTTCCTCCAGCAACATAGGACTTCTGTTCCTCAAGAGAGAGGTTTCTGGAAGGATGGGACTTCCTGGTTCCCACTGCCCTCCTCTGGCTCAGGGGAGTCTCTGTGTGATCTCCAGCCCCGCCCTGTGTTCCTCTTCTCTATCTGTATCACAGATCACCACCAATTCAGTGATTTAGAGCAGCTCACAGTTCTGAGGCCACGTGACCCAATGGAGTGGCCACGCACTCTGCTCGGGTTTCCAAAACAAAATCAAAATGCTGGACAGGCTGGCCTCTTCTCCGGGGCTTCCAGGGACAGTTCACTCCTGGTGTTCAGAGTCAGGGGAAGTGGGTTTCTGGTGGTTTGGGCCAGAGGCCCCTGCCCCGCTGCCCGCTCTGGGCTGAGGTCCTCCCTCAGCATCTTCTCACACTCACACTCAGCTCCAAAGCCAGAAATGATGGACGGGCTCCTTCTGGGGTCCTCCCTCTTCACGTCTCTCTTCTTCTGCCCCCATCCATTTCCAGCTCAGAGATGAAGTGTCCTGCCGATGTTTTTACGTGAGTCTCACCACGTCATCTGTTTATTTCCAGGTTTTCTTAGTGTCTTTGCAAAGGCTTAGCATCAGACTGTAGCCAAAGCGGCTTGGTCCTGTCTGCACAGTCAAACTTGTTTCTACACTCTCCCCTAGAGAGCCTTGGAGGCCTGAGCCAAGCCTCCAGCGGACGGTAAGTTCTCAGCAGGAGAGCAGAGCTTTAGTGCTCAGAACAGGCCCCATCCTCAAATGACAGGCGTCCCAAATTAGAATAACTCTCCTAAGAAAGGTGACCCAGGAAGCAGCCTTCTCCTTGGAAAGAGGGATCCCTTTCTTATCCCACTTGGTAGCTTAGGGCTGAAGTTGGAGGCTCACCATGTGGGGCAGCTGCCGCCCCCTGAAAAGGGCCCCCAAGAGAAGCCTGGGACCCGCTTGCAGGCAGAATTAGGTGATGTCATTGCCTTAGGGGATCACCGAGGATTCGGTCTAGAGGGGGAGATTTCCAGGAGGAGAGGGGGGTCTCCTGCCTTAGCATGTGAAAGAAGCATGAACTTGGAACACGAAGCACCACAAGCCTAGTGGTTTACACAACAGACACTGAATCTTGCCCAGTGCTAGAGGCCAGAGGGACCTGCCCCAGGCCTCTCTCCAAGCTCCTGGAGGCTTGCTGGCCATCTGTGGCATTCCTTGATTTCTGCTGCATCATGGGACCTCTGTCTTCCTCCTCTGTTACCCATCTCTGAATCACATGCTATGTGCCCTTCTTTTTTCCACTTGCTGGTATTGTTGGACAATCATTCCATCTCAAATATTTATACTATTTTATGTTGATTCATAGCTTAGCATGCTTTAATTTGTATCATAATTTATCAACCATTCTCTTATTTTTCAGCACTTCAGTAGCCTCCATTTATTTATTAAAAAATAACAAAACACCCTCAGAATTCTTTATGGAGTTTCCTGTCATTCTAGAGTTTTAGTATCTCTGCAGAATTCTTGGATCAAACCCCAGTGTGTCTCTGTCCTGAGTAGGAACATATATAGGACCAGGAGAGAGATAGGTGTGGGGTCCAGTTGATGCTTCCAGCCACAGTAAATCTGCTCCTGAACCTTCGTGTTCCTGTTCCCTGGGAAAATGAGGAGAGGAGAAGGAGGGCTCAGGAGAAGCCATCAGATCTTGTCCCGTATTTGGTAAGTGGCAGAGCCTGACCAGGACCATTTCCTGTGCAGGAGTCAGGAGTTGAGCCAGGACAGGTCTCAGGAATAAACGTGACTGTTGACCAACTGCAGCCATGAGAGGAGAACCAAGCAAAGTGTAGCGGGATCCACGGATAGAACCAAGCGCCCCAGGTTAATAGACTTCCAGGTGCTTGGCTGAGTGACACTGAATGGACTCTGCCTCCGGTACCCATTTCCACCTTTCCCTGTGGATTTCCTCAACACCTGGTGATAGAAGCTTTGGGGTAGATTAGTAGGCTACAGATATTTTTAAAATGATAATTTAAAAGACATGATGATATAGGAAATGCCTGTTTGTCACAGAAAAGCTTAGAAAATTCATCTAAGTAAAAAGAAAAAAGTAAAAATGGTTATTATCCAACTATACAAAGCTAACTGCTACTTGGCATTTTGTCCTACATCATTTCAGAGATTATTCTGTGTGTGTGTGGGGAGGGGGGGAGAGTTCAAGATGCTTTCAACCACCTTTTTCAGTTGCCAGTATACTATCATAAATAGTCTTCTATGATTTTATTTTTATTAGCTACATCATGTTTATTTCCCTTTGGCTGTGGTATATTCATTTAATTAGTCCTCTACAGTTGGATATTTAATTATGTCTGCTGTTTTGGAGTTTTACCAAATTGTAATAAATATCTTGGCCGCTAAATCTTTGCCCAAACTCATGAGTGTTTCTGCAGAATAAACATCTATGAATTAAATTTCTGGGTGGTGCTGGGGGAGGGTAGTAAACTGCATGTTGATGACTGAGACGCAGAGACGTATATTCTGTTAAGCAGAAAAATAATTCAAAATCAAACCTCAAGGTCAGGTCCCCGTCGCATTCCAAGGTGAGGGCTTCGCTCCAATAAATGGGGTTCTTGGGAGAAGCCCCTGCCAGCCTGAGCCTGGGGTGTTAGAGCAGTTGACTCTGAGGCTGGAGGCAGGGTTGGCCTCTCATGTCCTCTCCTCCCCCACCCCAATCTCTGCCTCCACAGGTGTCTGCTTCTCCCAGACCAGCAAGGAAGGACCATGTGCCAGGTGAGCATGGCACTTCTGTGCTTTTCGTTTTACCATGGATTTCAGGATGCTTAAAAGAATGCTTAAAAGAATTCGTCCAGTGAAAAACAATGCCAACAGAAATCAGGGCCAGTGAAAACAGGAGGAGAATGGAAGATCAAAGCCATGGGGAGGGCATACTACATAGGCTGCTGGAGTTATTAGCTGCCCTCTAAACTTGGGTCTGACATGTCTGTCACTTTAAAAAGACAGATTCCAAATAAATAAATAAATAAAAATAAAAAGACAGATTCTGTCCAATACATAACTTGTGTTGTCTGGAACAAGCGTATCACCCTCTCAGGGAACATAAAGCTTTCCAGGGTATTTAGACATTTATGTAATGGGTCTTCACACGTCAGATGTAATAGGCAGGGTCCTCAATAACAACAACATTCAAATAAACGCAACAGCAGATCTCCTGTGAGTTTCCCCCGCCCTCACAGTATCAAGTACATACTATATCAATGCAGAAATTCTGTGATTATAGTTTTTGCAGGGGTGGAGTCAGAACACTCAGGTCTACATAAACAGCCTTGTTAGGGTTCACACTTACCTAGATAAAACACTCCATGATCCAGAGGAAGGAACAGATGAGTGGTATGGTCTTTGAACTGCTGTTTGTGATAATTCTGGACAGAGATAGAGCCTGAACAGCTCCAATCCTCCGTGTTCAGCAGGGGTGGGGGAGATGGTCTGAGCTGTCCTGCCTCCTCTCTCCGTGACTTTGACCTCACCCACTGCCCTTAACCCCACTTGTGTCCTTTCTCAGTGGCCATCCATTCTTTCTTCAGACGTCACGACATCATGTATTCTATTGCCGGTCACGGTCAAATGCCTCCAGTCCTAAAGCGCCTCCCTCTTTACCCCAGGCTCCCAAGATGCATGAACTTGAAAGAGGCTGGTCAGAGTCCCGGAAGTTACAAAACCTGAGACCCAGAGCTAGTTGAGAACAAAGACAGGTTCGAGGCAGCACCCCAAGCTGTGGGAAGAGCAGGCCTGCTACTGGGACTGGTTCTGCCCAGGGACCCAGACCTCGCCAGGGGTCTCCCTTGTTCCCGTGACTCCTTTTCTCATAACAACTTATCCACATGACCAGAAATAGGGCTCCCACAGCTCACATTTACAAATTCTGCCACAGTGGGACCAAGTCTCCTTCCTCAGTTGGAAAGATCTTTGGGAAAGGTTGGGATTGGTTCAGCTTAGTTCAGGGGCTGAGGAGCTGGGTCTGCAAAGGGGCGCTCCCAGGAGTACCATGTGCTTGCAGTGGGGGCGGGGGGGCGGGGGAGGGAGGGAGATGAGACCTGGCAGATAAACATCACAGCGGTCCAGGCCAGGAAGACAAGCATTCACAGGTTTCTAGTTCAGGGATCTCCCTGTTAGGGTTATGTGTGATAAAAACAACAATAAAGCTTGTAAACGTATCCGCTGAGCACTTACGTGCCGGTCTCTGTGTTTTTACTATATTATTGCATGAATAAACCTGTGAGATGATATCATTAATCCCTTCCTCCATTTTACAGACAAACGAAGTGAGGCTAGAGATATTAAAATCCATTAGGTGATGGAGTTGGGATCTGAATGCAGACAGACAGACCTAGAACTGGGCCCTTCGTGATCAAACTAGTTTTATCTGCCAATAGCAAATCCCCAGCAGAGGAATCCAGTAGTGTTGATGTGTTCTAGACACGCACTGTCCATAACAGCCGGAGAAGGATATGATAACCCACTCCCTGATTCTTGCCTGAAAAATCCCTTGGACAGGGGAGCCTGGTGGGCTACAGTCCGTGGGGTCCAGAGACGACTGAGCGTACTTGCACACACAGACATGCATCATGGTAGCCAGTAAGCACAGGTAGATACTGAGCATTCAAAGTGTGGTTAGTGTGACTGTGGATTTGAATTTTTACATTATATTTCAATTTAAAAACTTCAGAGTAAAATATTTTTTCAGGAAACACAACTTTGTTTTGATAGGACTACATTTCACCAAAGTGAAAACTGTGTCTAATTGAGATGTACTTTAAGTGGAACATACACACCAAGTTTTGAAGATGTGGTATTTAAAAAGGATGAAAACTGGAGCTTCCTTGGTGGTCCAGTGGTTAAGACTATGCTTCCAATGCAGGGGGCGCGGGTTCCGTCCCTGGTCAGGAACCTAAGATCCCACATACCACACAGTGCAGTCAACAAATTTAAAAAATTAAAAAAGAATGAAAACTATACCTGTATACATGGAATCCTTTCTCTGCTTTCCTCTTGTTTACCACCTTAACTTTGCCTGTATCTCATGTCGATGATTATAACTGTGCCTGAATTTTATTTATTCTCTCCGTGATCCCCACCTCGTGATACAGCAATCATCTATATCAGATTGTCTTTTGTAGCTCCCCTTCCTAAGTACTGTGATGGAGACCCTCTTGCCTGCAGAAAAAAAACTTCATTTGTTCCATGATCTGATCCCTACGCCCACCACCCCCCCCAACACACACCCCTTATACACACACCTCTACACTATCATTCCCAATTTATTCCTACTTCCTACCGAATTTCCCCATGACTTCTTGGGCTGTGCTTCTTGATAGGAATAGCCTTCCAACATCAGAGCACGCTTTATTTTTTCATGATTCTGCTCACCTACACACTCCGATGAAGCTTAGCGTCAGGATGTTGAACCTGGCTGCTTGTCCTTGTGTCCTTCCATCAGAGCCTCCGTGTGTTGTTACCATTCAGCAGTCTATTACATGCACCTCATGCCACCGGCTACAAGCGCCCTTGAACAGGAGCGCTGTGGCATTCAGCTTTCAACCCCAAGCATCACGCAGAACACCAGTAACATACCTGGTCCCCCACCGATGCTTGCTCTCTACATGGAAGGATGGATGGATGGATGGATGGATGGATGGATGAATAGAGATCCAGAAGGCAGACACTTTCTAATGATTTTTTTTTTCTCTCCCTGTACAAAATGCAGTACAAAGTGAGGGGCGTGCTAAGCTTCCTATGTAACTTAACATGGGGAAACCCGCCCTCCGAAGGTGGTAAGATCTGTCTCCTCTATACCTCTGCCATAATACCCTGTGCCGAGCACTCCAGATTAATCAGGAATGTGCTGTTCCAGGGGTCCTTGTCATTCAGAGACGTGGCTGTGGGCTTCACCCGTAAGGAGTGGCAGCAGCTGGACCCTACGCAGAGGACCCTGTACCGGGATGTGATGCTGGAGAACTACAGTCACCTGGTCTCCGTGGGTGAGAAAGGCTGCCAGTCCCCCCAACCTGCTTATGTCTGAGCTCCTTCCTCTCCAGTTACATAAGACCCCTGAAGTACTCGAAATGTTTGTCCTGGGGTTTCAGTCATCAACACGTCCTTTTATAACCTCACCTAGATTATTGGTGAATTTTCCTCCCAAGTCAAACAGCTATTCTTTGGCTGAGAGGTAAATATTCATTGTGCGGCCTGAGACTTCTGCTTCCTTGGGTGTCCCAGAAACCTCAGCATAAAACTTGTTTCTTAAAATAATCTTTTGGCCATGCCACAAGGCATGCAGGATCTTAGTTCCATAACCAGGGATCGAACCCATCTCCCTGAATTGGCAGCATGGAGTCTTGACCACTGGACTGCTAGGGAAGTCCCTCAGATAAATCTTGTAACTGTTTCTTGTGAACAGGGTGTCAAGTCACCAAACCAGCTGTGATCTCCAGGTTGGAGCAGGGGCAAGAGCCATGGATGGAGGAGGAAGAGATCCTGACATGGAGCTTTCCAGGTGAGAGAACCAGTGTGCAGGGGGACAGAACACATGGGGTCCCAGAAGGTCACAAAACAGAACCTCTAATTTTTTTTTTATTTCAGGCAACTGTGTTAAAAGCCTTGAATCTTTGCAAGCAACTGTGGACAGTTGACCGAAGACCTTGAGATGCCCAACTGATTTCTATTACCTGCACCCATCACGTCACTGCATGATCACTTGCCCTCCCATGGATTTTAGAGAAAGACATTCTTTTAAAATTTATCCTTTCTTTCTACTCTGCTGCCCTCTTCTAAGACCATGCCTTCTCAGTCTTTCTCTAGAATCTTTAGGCTTACACTTGTCCCCTGGTTATGACACAGGCTTTTTCAAGCTCTCAGATATGTGTAGATTTGCCCTATTTAAAAATAACTTATTTTGTGCCACTCATTTTTTTTGGGGGGGGCATGATGTGTGGCATGCAGGATCTTAGTCCCCAGATCAGGGATCAAACCCACGCCCCCTGCAGTGGAAGCAGTCTTCACCACTGGACCGCCAGAGAATCCCTGTACCACTCATTTTTATTTTAGTTTTCTAAAATAGTTTTCTCTGCTTCACTGTGAAATGCCTCAAAAAATGTATTTGCTATCTTTTATATGACTTTTTTAAGCCTTTTTTTTTTCATTTATCTTTATTAGTTGGAGGCTAATTACTTTACAATATGGTAGTGGTTTTTGTTATATATTGACATGAATCAGCCATGGATTTACATGTATTCCCCATCCCGATCCCCCCTCCCACCTCCCTCTCTACCCGATCCCTCTGGGTCTTCCCAGTGCACCAGGCCCGAGCACTTGTCTCATGCATCCAACCTGGGCTGGTGATCTGTTTCACCCTAGATAATATACATGTTTTGATGCTGTTCTCTTGAAACATCCCACCCTCGCCTTCTCCCAGAGTCCACAAGTCTGTTCTATACATCTGAGTCTCTTTTTCTGTTTTGCATATAGGGTTATCGTTACCATCTTTCTAAATTCCATATATATGTGTTAGTATACTGTAATGGTCTTTATCTTTCTGGCTTACTTCACTCTGTATAATGGGCTCCAGTTTCATCCATCTCATTAGAACTGATTCAAATGAATTCTTTTTAATGGCTGAGTAATATTCCATGGTGTATATGTACCACAGCTTCCTCATCCATTCGTCTGCTGATGGGCATCTAGGTTGCTTCCATGTCCTGGCTATTATAAACAGTGCTGCGATGAACATTGGGGTGCACGTGTCTCTTTCAGATCTGGTTTCCTCGGTGTGTATGCCCAGAAGTGGGATTGCTGGGTCATATGGCAGTTCTATTTCCAGTTTTTTAAGAAATCTCCACACTGTTCTCCATAGTGGCTGTACTAGTTTGCATTCCCACCAACAGTGTAAGAGGGTTCCCTTTTCTCCACACCCTCTCCAGCATTTATTGCTTGTAGACTTTTGGATAGCAGCCATCCTGACTGGCGTGTAATGGTACCTCATTGTGGTTTTGATTTGCATTTCTCTGATAATGAGTGATGTTGAGCATCTTTTCATGTGTTTGTTAGCCATCTGTATGTCTTCCTTGGAGAAATGTCTGTTTAGTTCTTTGGCCCATTTTTTGATTGGGTCATTTATTTTTCTGGAGTTGAGCTGGAGGAGTTGCTTGTATATTTTTGAGATTAATCCTTTGTCTGTTGCTTCGTTTGCTATTATTTTCTCCCAATCTGAGGGCTGTCTTTTCACCTTGCTTATAGTTTCCTTTGTTGTGCAAAAGCTTAAAAGTTTCATTAGGTCCCATTTGTTTATTTTTGCTTTTATTTCCAATATTCTGGGAGGTGGGTCATAGAGGATCCTGCTGTGATTTATGTTGGAGAGTGTTTTGCCTATGTTCTCCTCTAGGAGTTTTATAGTCTCTGGTCTTACATTTAGATCTTTTTTTATATGACTTTAAATTCATCTTTCAAGACTATGCATGTATTGATAACATGTCCCCATTTTATCTGATAAGTTATAACTAAAGCTCTTCCGCCATCTCAGTATATTCCCATGGGAAGCAGAGCCTTTGTTTTATTCACCCTTGTTTCTGCAGGATACATATAATGTATATCAACTAACCCCTTCTCCCTTCTAGGACAAGGATCCTTTATCAAGCACCCATTCAGAGTGGTTGTTTTTAATCAGAGGTGTGCACCAGAATCACTGGGGAAGCTTTAAAAATGCCCCTGGCTGGTCCCAACTCAGAAAATTCTGCTGGGAAAGATCAGCCAAGGGAATAGGAAGTGTGTGTAGTAGGAATAAGATTATCATAATTTAATCTGGGCACTCGTTTGAAACCACAAAGTTAACCCTCCTTCCAAACACTACTTTTTTTTTTTTTTAACTTTTAATTTTTTCCCAAACATTTCTGAGATAGTTTAGTCCTACCATGTGCTCCTGAAGGCTCAGTCGGTAAAGAAACCGGTTGCAATGCAAGAGATCCAGGTTCGATCCCTGGATTGGGAAGATCCCCTGGAGAAGGGGATGGCAACCCTCCAGTATCCTTGCCTGGAAAATCCCTTGTACAGAGGACTCGGGTGAACTACGGTAGTCCATGGGGTGGCAGAGTCGGACACGACTGAGTGACTAACACTTTCATGGTGCTCTTGGAAAGATTAACACGTCTGAGTCCTTTTTTTTTTTTTTCCCCTAGAAGTCTCCCAAGTTGATAGGCAACGGGAACACCGAGAGGAACGTCTGAAGCAAGTTGCAGCCCCAGACAAGAAACAACTGACCCCAGAAGAGCACCACGCACGTACCACAGTTGGAAAAAACACCGCTCAGGACACAGTCGTTGTCCCTTCAGAACAACAGGCCCCTCGGTGTGAGTCATGTGGCGCCGCCTTGCCGGGTAAGGCGGACGTCACTGTCACTCCCAGCGCGTACCTTGCGAGGAGGAGGTTTGAATACGATGCACAGGGGAACCTGTTTCTCTACTCGAAGCTGGACGCTCCCCCTGCGGGGGCGCGCCCACGCCAATGTAACCGGTGCCGAGAAGCTGTAAGCCGTGCCCAAGCTCTTAATGCCGACCAAGGAACCCACAGTAACAAGGAACCCCGCAAACGCACCGCAGGCAGGAAAGGCCTCTCTCTCAAGTCAAGACTCACTACCCGTCAGAGAGTCCACAGGGCCAAGCCACCCTCAGGGCGGAACTACCAGCGGGGAGGTGGCCCGCCCAGGCAAACATCCGGGAAATCGGGCGGACCGGAAACGCCGCCGAAACAGGAAATGCCGCCGAAACAGGAAATGCCGCCGAAACAGGAAATGCCGCCGAAACAGGAAATGCCGCAGAAAGCTCTTGGGGGAGACGAGCCTGTGCATCCCCCCAGGCCGTTCTAACTGGAGAGACGCCTTAAATGTGTTCCGGCTGTGAGGAGCTCTCCCACAAGTCAAGCCTCATCGAATACCACAGATGCCACACGGGAGAGAAGCCCTACCGTTGCCCAGAGTGTGGGAAGTACTTCTCCCAGAAGTCCTGCCTGATCATCCATCAGAGAGCGCACACCGGGGAGAAGCCCTAGGGGTGCATCCGGTGCTGCAAGGCCTTCTCGCAGAACTCTTGCCTCCTCATCCACGTGAGGACCCACATGGGCAGCAGGCCCTACGAGTGCTCCGCCTGCGGGAAGACCTTCACCCAGGAGGCGAACCTCCTCCGACACCACAGGATTCACACCCGGGAGAAGCTGTACGGACAGGGTGAGACAAGGCTTTCATCACGAATTCCCAGCACTCTGAGGAACGTTAAAACCCTATGGATTTTGTGAACGTGGAAAACCCCTGCGCCGAGAAGTCCAGGGCCAACTGTGGGCAGAGCGTCACACCAAAGTGAAACCCTAGCAATTTAGAGTCAGAAAAAGCTTATTCTTTTTTTAATTTTTTAATCTTTTTGCCACACCGCCATGGGATGTAGGATCTTAGTTGCCTGACCAGGGATCAAACTTGTGTGCCCTGCATTGTAAGTACAGAATCTTAACCACTGGACCCACCAGGGAAGTCCCGAAAAGCTTATTCTCTTAAAACTAAGAAGGGTAATGACGCTCTAGAGGGATTTATTTTTATAGGATAAACTTAATTATGAAGTGTATCTGTGTCTTATAGTAACTGTGGCTGTTGAGCTCTGAAGTAAATGAATAATTTAAACCGTTAAGACAGCATATTGAATAAGGCTGAATAAAGCACAGAACAATCCCGGGGTATATAGGGGCTATGTTCCTGGAGATGCTCCATAAAAATAGTTTTATTTTACTTATTTTTGAATTGTATTTATATTTGAACACAATTGTGAACTTTTAGATGTAGATACCATAATATGGAGGATGACATCTATCAAGAGTTTCCATACTAATTACACCCTTTTGTTTTTAATATATGTTATAACTGGAACATTCCAAATTTACTACTCAACCAGAAGTCCATACACAGTACCACATACCGTTTGGTTTTTTGTTTGTTGGCAGATATTACAGAGCACCCCTTGGATTAGGAAGCCAACAACTTCATGAGGTACCCTCATCTCTGTCATCTAGTTCATAAGTCATGTTAAATGTGCAAGGTTGGGGCTCTCTTTTCTGTCAGTATAGTGGACCATCTGAAGTGAAAAACGTTCCACTAAAAGAAAAGTGAGACTCCAAAGATGTATTGGCTCAGATTTAACAAAAGACATGCATTAGCATGCATATATACATGCAGTATATATGTGTAAATATGCATATGTATATACATGCACTATATGCCTAGCTGAGTAGTTAGAAATATTCACATCTAGATGTACTCGATGTATTATCTGTCAAGAGTTTAGCTACATTGCTGTCTGGTATTGCTGCCTCGTCATCCATCATATCTGGTCAAGAGGCTGCAGGGACCTTAAGCTGATAATAATAGCCCCTTGAACAAGGGCATGCTCGATGGCAGCGATCGGCCACAAGCAGATATAAGTCCCTGGTGTGACTTCCTCCCAGCCCTTATGATCAGCAGCCTGCCTCCCAGTGTCTGTGTGCCTTATGCCCCTTAGCCAGGGCCCCGTGAGCTCGTCAGAACCCTGCTCTGTGGGTTTGAATTGACTGCTCTGGTCCTAACCCAGCGACCCCAGAGCATGCCTTCTGTGGACCCTAATAAAGGCATGTGTGCCAAGTCCAGTCTGTCTGCACTCTATCTTGACCTCCCCTTCTGCTGTGGACTCAGTCCAGGCCCTGTGAGTGTTAAGGCCTTGTGAGTGTTAAACGCATCTATTTCAATTTCTGTGTGGTCTGTTGTTTAACCCACTCATCGTCCTACACCTTGTGCTCCACTTAGTGAAGTCTCTTAGTCATGTCCTACTCTTTGCGACCCCATGGACTGTAACCTATCAGGCTACTCTGACCATGGAATTTTCCAGGCAAGAATGCTGGATTGGGTTGCCATTTCCTTCTCCAGGGGATCTTCCTGACCCAGGGGTCAAACCCGGGTCTCCTGCATTGCAGGCAGACGCTTTACCATCTGAGCCATAAGGGAAGGCCCTTAACAAGTGTTAACAGTCTTGACACCTGGGAACAGGATGGTAACAATCGACAACGGGGACAGTCTTGCGATTGGGCGCTGGAGAAATGCCTTTCAACTGTGAGAGCTCCAGGGCTCCCCCAGGTGGGATGTTCCATCTGGGGGGCCCCCTGTGCTGCCATCCCCCGACCCCCAAGTGCAGGTGCCCCAGAATCCCCCGGAACACTGCTCTTGGGGGCTGGTTTGAGGGGTTGTGGGTGTGTCTCCTGCCTGTTACCGCCTCACAGAGGGTGAACTCCCCCAGCGAGTATTAGACTTGGGGTGTGTTTCCCCACTTCAGGTGCAGACCCAGCTGTCGACTGATAGCAGAGCTGGCCTCGGCTTTCTGAAAGGTCCTGTCGGGGCAGGTGAGGGCTGGAGTGCTCAGTGCCTAGAACCACCAACTCACCAAAGCATGGGTTCCAGGCTCCAAGGTCCCAGCTCTGGGGACCCTGCCACCTCTGCTCTGGTGGGGGTGACCCTAATCCTGCTGGGGCTGATGGGACCACCCTGAGGGGAAACGGCCACCTAGGAGTCTGGCTGCCAGGGAGCCCACTGCAGACCTTTATGGCAATGTGTGTCACTCAGTTGCTCAGTTGTGACCCCATGGACTGTAGCTGCCAGCTCCTCTGTCCATGGGATTCTCCAGGCAAGAATACTGGAGTGGGTTGCCATGCCCTCCTCCAGGGGATCTTCCCAGGGATCGAACCCGAGTCTCTTGTGTCTCCTGCATTGGCAGGTGGATTCTTTACCACTAGTGACACCTGGGAAGCCCTTTGGTAACACCTCTAAGACCAAATCACAGGTGGGAGGTGGGGGTGGCAAGTAACAGAGAATTAGAAGCCAAAATCTGAAACTGGATTGCATCTTTGAAAGCTGCTGAGAGAGTAAACCTTGAACGTTCGCATTACTAGAAAATAAAATTTGGCAGCTACATGAAGTGATGTTAGCTAGAGATATTGTGGTGATACTGTCTCAATGTATACAAATTTCAAATCATTGTACGCCTGAAACCAATGTGATGTTGTGTGTCAGTTATTTCTCAATAAATAAATAAACTGAAAATTGAAACCTGATATGTCTCAAAATTCAGAATATTCTGAAAGACTTTGTACAGCAGGAGGGAAAGAAGAGGTGCTGCTACACTGCACCATGGAATTCAGCCAAAGACCCAAAACGCATAACCTTCTTAAAGAAATCAGGGGACCTCCTGGTGGTCCAGTGGCTAAGACTCCGAGCTCCCAATGCAGGGGGCCTGGGTTCAATCCTGGTCAGGGAACTAAATCCCGTATGCTGCAACTAAGACCTGGTGAAGTCAAAGAAATAGATGTTAACAACAACAGTAAAAAAGAACCCAGGGATGCAGGACCACCATTAGCAAACGCAGGCTGGGTCCCCACATGGACTGATCTTGGCTCCAAAGCAGCTGCAACCAATCGCACTCGGCATCTAGACAGCTCCAAGGCCCTTGCCGGCCAGTCAAGGACCAAGGCTTCCTCGGTGGTAGCCAACACTCATCTCATGCAGTCTGAATAACAGGGCCACTGGTGGCCCTTGGGACTAACCCGGTCCCAGGAGACGCACTGAAGCCAATCAGCTGCAGACAGCAGGCTGTTAGAATGGGCTTCCTCACAGCTGTAGGATTTGGGGAAGAATTGTGGGAGGGGGCTTCCTGTGTGCCTCGGGTTCCTGAGCACTGACCTCAGGGAAGCAGAAGGTAAGAATGGAGCTGGCACAGACAGATGGCCAGGGAACCCCTTCCATAAGATCGCTTTTCTTTCTTTTATAGTCTCTTCCTCCTGTCCTTCTCTCTTGTTAAAATTGAAGTAAAATTGGTTTACGATGTTGTGTTTCAGGTATAAAGGAATGTGATTCAGTTATAGGTCTATTTTTCAGATTCCTTTCCCTTATAGGTCATTACAGAATATTGCACTGAGTTCCCCTGCTATACAGTAGGTCTTTGTTGGTTATCTATCTGTGTATAGTAGGTGTGTATCTGTTAATCCCAAACTCCTAATTTATCCCCCCTGCCCCCCGCTTTTCCCTTTGGTAACATTTTTTTTGTTTTCATTGCAGCATGTGGGATCTAGTTCTCTGATCAGGGATCAAACCTGGGCTCCCTGTATGGGAAGTGTGGATCCTTAGCCACAGGACCACCAGGGAAGTCCCTGGGTCGCTTTCATAAGGACACTAATCTGATTCGTGAAGTCTCTGCCCTCACGACCTCATCAACTCTAGAGACCCCCCCACCTCCTAATCACAGACTAAAATGGGGAGCAGTTTTCAACATGTGAATTGCGGGGTAGGGGGGACACATTCAGTCTACAGCAGGTATGGTGATGGGACTTATTGCTGAATTATACAAGGGATTTTCATAGATGGAAAAAAGCAGCACAAAGCAGTATGAGTACAAGTTTGATAATTTGAAGCTTCTCTTTGTGAATGGCTTGAACCAGTCACAGTTCATCTCACATAAAACAAACTCCACAAATCTTAAGGATGCATCTTGATGAAGTTTTGCACATACATATACCCATGGAATCACCACCCAAGTTGACATATAGAATGTTGCCAGCATCCAGGCAATCTCCCTGTGCCCTCAGCCAACCCAAACCCCTTCCCCAGTTAACCACCACGACAACATCAAAAGCCACACATGAGTCTGTCATTGGCCTTTACTTAAATGGGAGCATCCAGTATGTGTTCTTTGCATCTTGCTCCTTACACTATTACATCTGTGTTGTTCTCATTTTTTGCCAATAGCAGTACTTCATTCTTTTTTGTTGTTCGTAGTATTCCATTGCATGAACATGCCACAAGCTGGGTTTTTTTAAAAACATTTTTTTGATGTAGACTATTGTTTAAATTCCTTATTAAGTTCTTTTATGATATTGCTTCAGTTTAATGTTTTTGTTTTTTGGCTGCAAGGCACGTGGGATCTTAGTTCCCCAACCAGGGATCAAACCTGCACCCTCTGCATTGGAAGGCAAAGTCTTAACCACTGAACTGCCAGGGTAGTCCTGCCACAAGCTGTTTGTATTCATTCTGTGTTCGTGAACATCTGGATCATTTCCAGTTTTTGTCTATTATAAACAGTGCTGCCATAGACTTCTCCTATGTGAATACTCACTCCTTTTCAAAAGATACTGTGTGGCTACGACTCAGAGCAGAAGTTCTCAAACAGGGGTGACTTTGTCCCCTAGGCATGTTTGCCAATGTGTGAGGACATTTTTGACCATCACAACTTGGGTAGGGGAGTGCTGTGTGCCACGTGGGTAGAGACAAAGGATGCCGTTAAGGGCCCTACAATACACAGGTCGGTGCCCCCCTCAGAGAGATCTATCCGCTCAAAATGTCCATAGAAGCAGGAGCCTGATTCTGGGGTCCTTGTCTGCTGCCTCCAGG